ACAGGTAAGCTCTAATAACTGCAAGCTCCCCATGACCCATTTTTCAAATTAATGAATTGTATTTCAAGGGGAAAGTCCCCAGGTGTGCCAGCGATTTTCTGCACATCTGCCTGACACTGGAGCTTGGTACCGCACCCTGAACTCCACCATCTTCCTGTGCAGGAGACAGTACAGTTTCCTTAAACCTCACAGGAGTGTCCAGCAGAGGCTTGCAGACTTATGCAAAGACAAGGCGCAGATTCGAATTCTTGACCATACAGCAGCAGCGACTTTACTGGTCATGGTCACCCAGAGCATTGTGCTTCTATGGGAGTAATCTGTCTCATTATTACATTAATAAGTTAAAATGTTGAATGAAAGGTCTTAGCAAAGGGTGCGTTATAAAGTTAGGGCTTAGTAAACAGGATCTGTGGATGAGTAAACTCTAGTGACATGATCGAGTATAACAGCCTTACCTACAGAGTCAAGTTCCTGCCTCGTGGGGCTGCCCTGCTTCACAGCCAGGTTCGCCTTGGCATCACGTTAGACCAGGTTAATACCAGCGCAGGGCTCCTCAGCGGGAAGCAATTCTGCCATCCAAGACAGCCAGTAATGTCACAGGACACCTCTGCCTGTCCCAGCCGGGAGCAGCCACTGGCACGCAGGGGCAGATGCGGTGCTCTGCTCTGTGCCCTACAGTTCACAGGATTTCGCCACCACCACAGTGAGGAACTTTGCAGCCCAAATGCCACCAGGGCCAGGGTGGAGCCGTGGAGAATTGTGCAGGGGAAGTGGTCCTGACCCCTATGAATGTTTCTGAGTGCCATGCTGGGACTCCTTAAGTTTTGAATTCCCAATGTTTTATTTTGAATTTCAGAATTCTGGATGAATGATGGTCATCTGGTAAAGTCTATTCCCAAATTCCAAATCCCAAAACCTGAGATCTGAAGACAGCTGTCTTTTCAGGGATTTTCAATCTGAACTAGATTAGAAAACTAGAGTGGAATTACCCACTGAACTCATGGTAATGTTAGCATGGGGTTTCCAGGTGGGCAGCTCGGGTTTTTACAATGCTGCGAGCATCTGGAGCCCACCAGCATCATACTCAGGTGCTCCAGAGTCATCCCTGATTCTGCACGGTTTTAGGGTGAAACACTCTTATTACCCGAAAGTCTGAGGACGCTGCCAGGAGTGGGGTGCAGCTTCCAAGAACAAATTCCCAGCTTTCCTGGGTTCAGGGAGCACTTAGATCTTCTGACAATGCGGACTGAGGTAAACGGAGCTTCTGTGCATCCAGGAAATTTTTACCTACGCCACATTTCCAGCTTCCAGCATCGCCTGCCCCACCCAGTGGCGCTAATCGGATGCCACAGGCTTTTCTGCATCACCTCCCTTGCCTGCCCGCCTCACACTCTTATTCACAGACTCATCATTCAGTGTGAGTGGAAGGGTGCCACACGGCAGTCACAAAAGCAGGAGTAACTGGTGGAGTTAACGGCTCACTCACAGTAACGAAGGAGGAGAAAGCAATGGTTTAAAAAAAAATGTGTCAGGAACAACAGAGAGAAGGTGGAGCTTTGGCAGAGGAGGAGGGGGCCAGCTAGGAGGAGGAGGAGGGAGGGAGGGGAGGAGACAGACAGGAGGAGGCCTTACTCATGCGCACCAGCCCCCCACAGCAAATGCCATCGTCCTGGACTCCAAAGAGGGACTAACAAAAGGTGTTATTTTCCTGTGATAAGGGTAGGTGGACAGGACGAGTCAAAGAAACTGGCCCCAAGGGAGCAGGCTGTCACATCTCTAAGGTCAGCAAGGCGGGCCTGTGGCCTGGGGAGGGGAGGGGCCCGTGTAGCTACCTCAGGCTGCTCCTGGATCTCTGCTGATGTCCATGAGAGGGCGTGCAGGTGGGAATGTTCAGTCCATGCAGCACAGGGTTCCAGAAATTATGAGTGAGAAAACTACTGGGGATCACTTTTTAGGTCCCCCTAAGGACATTTGTTGAGCTCTAAAAAATTCCATACATTGCAATAAAAATGAACTTTCTTCCTGTACACTTGGATGTGCAGTGGGAATTAACCATGGCCCTCTCCCTCTGTCCCCTCTTACATCTGTCCCCTCTCACCTCTAGGGCATGCAGCAGTGAATATACAAAAGGGAGCGATTATAATAAATTTCCTAAAATCTGTATTTAAAAAGCTATCATCACTACACCACAGTGCAACATAACACCACCAAGAAAATTGTTGGCTCATTAATAATTAGCTCAAGAAAGAAAACAATTTGCTACTCAAAGGCAAGTTCAGTCACAGCCACCATTAAATTCAGTATAATGGAATTCAACAAGTGACCTACTTTAAAAAGTTCACAGAAACCTCTTATATAAGAGGTCAAAGAGAAACACTATTTCAGCTTTGAAGATTTCTTCTGGGTTAAAGAATGACAGTAAAGAGAATTACAAGATGGTGGGATTGCTACAATTATGCTACAAGATTGCTTGGTACATAAAATCTTCATTAAAGGCAATACAACTAAAAATATTTTTCTAGTACTGCAAACAATACATTTTCCTAGTGCAAAGTGATATATGCAATAGGTGATTTTTCTGAGGGAAGATACAAGTCCACAAAACCCACAATGTGGTTACCATTTTGGTGCTTTGTTTTCCTTACTCATAAACATGGGAACTGACCTGAATTTTTAAGGCAGGCCTAGCTGTGAACTGTTTTGTTAAAGGAGGCCAAATAACCTCGTTTTAGTGGTGGTTCAACAGTACACACACAATGATCACATTCACTGTGGGAGCTGGTACATGTACACAACCTAATTCTCTTTATTTCCTCTTTCACTCTTCGCCCTTCTCTCTCCTTCGGGGTCTCCTTCCCATTTGCAAAAGATTTACCTCCCTGTTGTCCATTTTTTATGTAGTTTTTCAAGTTATTTAGATGTTGGGTTTCTCATGTATGAGAAAACATTCAATAGTAAGAACCCTATTACTTTTGCTTTCAACTATATTAAGAGTGAGACAGCTCTCCTGGGTGAGAACATCATTCTGGGCAACAGAACGTGTTCTTGCTTAGAACTGACCTTCACCTGGAGTTTAACTTTTCTGGGGAAGAACGCACGCCGAGGAAGCTCACTGGGTATCTGTTTTGTGCACGCCACACGTGCCACCTGAGAGGTCTGCTCACGTGACAACGTTCTCCAACTCGTCAGGAAAGGACGGTGTGTGGGTTTTTCTAGTCACAACTGCAAGTCTGTGCTGGCTGGGTCTAGATGTCCCCCAAGCTGCACGCACTCAAGGACGGGGCTTTCCATGTCCACGGCCAGACATGGGGATTACACATGTGATGCTGGGATCCAGGGCGCTCACCTGGCTGTGCGGCGTACTGTCCAGGGGACCAGCAGCCCGGCTGGCACACAGGCACAGAAACGAGGCTGCTGATGCGATGCCACTTCGCTGCTTGCTGCCTTCTGCCTGCCACCGGCAGCTTCTCTCCTGTCACCCCCGCCTGGGAGCCAAACCACCATGACTGGACCTTCAGAAACCGTGAGCTGACTACACCTTTCCTCCTCTAACTGTGTTGTTGGGTATTCTGACTCAGCAGTGAGAAAAGTAACCAAGACACAAGTCCTTTCTAACAGCATTTTCTATTCTACACACAAAAGAAAACAAAAATTTTTTTTCTAAAAGAGTATTTCCTACTCTTTTTTCTTTTTGTTTGTTTTGTTTTTTGAAATAGGATCTCACTATGTAGCCTAGGCGGGTCTTGAACTCATTCCTACTGTTTTGCTAAAAGGAACCATTTCTTAATTGTTTTTCTTTAAAGACATTTTCATTGATGTACTGCTAACAGATTTCTGTGGAGCTTTCTTTTCTACCCTGGACTTTTCATATGAACAATAAAATAGCTTCTTTGGAGAGAATTAAAAGTGTGAATCTGTCTGCATTCCTATGCTCACTGCAGCACCTCTGCAATAGACAGGGCATGTAAAGAGTTAAGTGCCACCCATCGATGGATGGACAGAGGGACAGAGGCAGGATATGTGGTATATGGTCAACTCTTGTCACTCACAGCAACATGAGCAAGCCTGGAGCATTACGTGAACTGAAATAAATCAGACCCTGAAAGACAAATATGAAATGTTCTCACTAACACGCAGAAATGAAAAAGGTTGATCTCACAGAAGAGTAGAACTACAGCTACCAGAATTGGGTGTATTTGATAGGGTTAGAGAAAGGCTAGTTAGGCGACAAAATGACAGTTAAACAGGAAGAATAGATTCTAGTATTCTACTGCGCACAGGATGCTACAGTCAGCAACGATTTACCACCTGTTGCAAGCAGCTACAAGAGGGGGTGTTAAAAGTTCCCAAAACAGAGGTGATAAATGTGACAAATATGCTAATTGTCCTTGTGGGGTCATTACATACCATAAACATGTACGGAAATATCACTGTGTACCTCTTCCATGTGTAGAAATATAATTGTGTATCAATTAAAAAGTAAAAATTAATAAAGAAACCGATCTCTGGGAACGATATAGCCTCTCAGGTGCTGAGTCAGTGCTCCTTCCACAAGGCAAAGCACCTGTGCTTCCCTGATGCTGTGAGCACTTTAACAGCAATGCACAAACCCTCATGACCATCGCTTCTCTAAAGCACGCAGATACATTAGGGTTTCCATGTGCTCCCAGGTGCTCCTTTATTCCCAGAAGGGGAGCATTTCCAATGATTGGCCTTGAGAGTACCCGCATCTCCTCTGTTCAAGAATGAGAAGCAAGGAGTGTGGTCCAGCACCCAAGACTGGTGAAGACCACAGACTCAATGTACTAAAACCTCTGTCAGCAGAAAGCCGCTCAGTATTCTTCCAGAAACTCCACAGCCAACCTGGAAGGGAACACTGACCCGGGAAGGAACCCACAGTCTGCAGAGCAAGGACCCCTGTGTAGTGGGGACGGACGGGCCAGCAGATTCTCTGCAGCTGGGGGCTCTCCCTCCTGTGGGAGCCTGCAGCCCACACTCACCTCTCCCGAGGCACTGCAAACCAGTACTCGGGCTGCTTCCTGCGCCGGCCGTACTGCTGCACGATGGCGGCCGTGTGGGTGGCGAAGGACTTCCTCATTGGCTTGCCCACTTTGATGCACAGAAACATAGGAGGAGTCTTGCTCTTTTCTTCCTTGGAAGGAAGGATATCTGTGTTGCACAGGAAAAAGCTGTCTCAGTATGGACAACCTGGGAAATGTAGAACTTCTCAGTGTACAGAGAACAGGGTCCGTCCTCGCTGAGTGGCAGGAAGCTCAAAGCACATGGCAGGGAGGCCATGCAGCAAGAGGACCAATAAAAGCTCTGCCTGTTTCAGACAGGTGTGTGTCAGATGAGACGCCACACACTGGAGCTAGGCATGGAAACCAACACAGCACAACACTGAAACATCCTGACAGTTCACAAGTACACATACTAATGAAGGCCACTAGGGACCCATTGTACCATCCCATAATTCAATTCAAAATTGAAATTTCTTAAAAATCATTTTAGCTGGGAGTGGCAGTAGATGTCTGTAATCCTAATATCTGAGGAGGCTGAGGCAGGAGGACCTCGAGGCCAGTCTCGGCTACATAGTGAGTTCAAGGCCAGCTTCAGCTACGTAGGGAGATTCTGTATCAAATAACAAAAACCAAAACAAAACAAAACATTTAAAACTCTCAGATTTTAAAATCCAGGATTAGAAATGGGAACGTACTTGAAATATTTTTTTAACAAAATAAACAACTTTTGAAATAGAAATCAATGTTACAGTTTAAGCTCCAAAATAGATACCATGATTGATTTTTTTTACTTCAATCACTACTGCTAGCAGTGAAGACAGAGTCTACTGAGAAAACACTGTCCTCAAATGCCTGTACCTCTCTGGCTATGGTAGACACAGGTTTCAGAAAGCCAGTCGTGCAACAGAAATACAGCACAGGAGAAAAACAGATTACCTTCGATGGGCACCTGAATCCTCTTTAACAGCCACAGCTGAATTTCAGATTTATTGTCCATTTGGGCACCAGGGCAGCTGCTGTCCAGGGCTGGCTCTGAAGCGGAGTCCAGATACTCTTTAATCTTATTTTCTCCTATATTAGTGTCCACGTTCATTGCGAGAGACCCTCTCTCCTTCTCCGGGGGCTCGTCTGGCTTCTTGGGGCTCTCCGTGGGTGGATCGCCAGCCTGGAGAAGGGTGCTGCTAAGGGTGATGTCTATTCCCACCGTTTCAGTGCTTTTGCCATCACTCAGTTCTGCCGTCTGCGAATTTTCAGATGGCTGTGGCCCTTCTATGTTCTTAGGCAGGTAATACTCAATGAGTTTCACTTTATCCAGATCTTCATGGATGTCCAGTGAGTTTTCCACCTGGCTTTCTGGGAAGCCAGACTGCTTGTCCACCTCTGGTACTGTGTCCTGCTTCTCACAGGTTTCCGAATCCAGGGTCCCCTTCAGTTCGGCGTCACTCTCTGTGGCTAGGACACTGGGCGCTGGCTGCACCTGGCTTTCCACAGCAGGAGCGTCTACTTTCCACCTGGTCTTCTTCCGGTCCCCGGGGTCAGCTGAAAGGCACTCCTTCAAGGCATCTCTCTTGTCCGTCCTACTCTCAGACTGAGAAGAAAGCTCTTCCAAGTCCTCGAAGTCCTCATCTTCGCCCACAAGGCAGTTTTCTTTGGCTGTAGACTCAAGCGTAGGATGCATCTCTGATAGCTCCTGCCTGAGCTTGGTCACTGCAGGCAAGCCCCGAGCGCGCGCCCTGATGGGTTTCAGCTTCCTGAATTTCCCTGCCATGGGGCTGCCCTGGGGCTCTGTCCGTGTGTCCTCTGAGGATTTCTCCAGGGAGCCTGAGGACACGGGCTCCGAAGCCCCGGTCCTCTCCCCACTCTGTTGCCGTCTCTCCTTGCTGATGGACTTGAACTTACTGAACGGGTTGATGTCCTTCTCGGAAGCCAGGTCTTCCCACTCTCCAGGCCTGTACAGAGGACAAAGATCCTGAGGTAGGTCACTGTGGGGGAAAATGGTGGTGCATATGGAATGTTAAAAATAAAACCAAAGACGAGGTGGAGGAAAAGCACAACACAAAACAAAACTCAACCAAAAATCAAAAATGTAAATATACCGCAACTTAAATTTAAAGTTAAAATGATGCTAGGACAAGAACATGAGATTGAGAACGACTGCAAAACGAAACGTAAGTTAACTGAAGAAAATGGCAGGAGAATGAACCATGAATTGCGTATCTTAGCAGAAACACAAGGATGGTTTTGGAAGTCATATATGAATGTAGAGATTTTGCCCGTAAGGTTCTTTGCTTCTCTACCGATCCGAGGAAAACCTATCACGTGGCCTGCTGAGCCCTCACTGAGTGCCTGCTGTGGGGTTCCAGTGCCCGCAGCACCGGGGTCCTGGCAGAGAAGCAGTGGCGTAGGCTCAGGGGTAGCGGGAAGCGGAACCGGTGCCGGACAGCCCAGGGACTGCCTGGATCCCTCTTTCCCAGTGTGCTGACCCAGCTTCCAGCATGGATGTGGACCCTCTGCGGTGGGTTCTGGGGTTGCTGGAGGTGTCTGCTCCACGACTCTTCCTTTCTTTAGGGGGAACTTTGACTTAACGGTTACTGTATACTAAATTCAACACCATAAGACAAGCAATCAGCCCTAAAGAAATATTCGTCTACATTTTGGAGAAGAAAACAAAGGCATGTCACAACTCTACACAGCATGCAAGCTAGTCCAGGTGCAGCTGAGGGGCCATGCGCTGCCTGCTCCAGTCTCTCCTGATGCAGGGATTGAGGCAGACTCAGGTGAGGAAGGCTGCCTGACAGGTAATTTAACTGATGAGGAACATGGCTCTTCTTACTAACCCAGAAGGGCAGGGCGTGATGGCACATACCTGTAATCTCAGCACTTGGAGGCTGAGGCGGGAGGATCACCTTGAGTTGGAGGTCACTTTGGGCTACATAATGACATAAGGGAGAGTATGGACTACATAGCAAAACCCTGTCTCACAGAAGTCAGACAAGAATAATCTGACCTAGACGAAAATATTCTTCAATAATCAGGGTAAATTTCTGTCAGTGAAGTGGTATCTGCTTTCATTAATTCATTAAGAACATGCATTATTTCTCAGAAAATAAGCCCAACAAATATCTCTTTACTAGTGGTAGCAGTTGTTGGTTTTATTTTTCTGCTTTCATCTTCATACACTCAACTTTCCCACATCACTGACTTTCATTGTTTCTGCTTTTATTTATTGATTTTTAAGACAGGCTCCCACTATGTAGTTTAGGGTGCCTCTAAACTCACTATGTAGCTCAGGCTGGCCTTAAACTCACAGCAGTCCTCCTGCCTCCGCCTCCTGAGTGCTGGGATTATCAGTGGGCACCACCAGGCCTGACTTATTTTTCTTTATTTAAAATTTACTGCTTCTACTTTCCACCTCCCAGTGCAACTCTACACAGCCCATGCTTCTACAAATGCCCTGCTTGTATACACCACTGCATTCTCTCGACACCTCCCCTTCCTGGCAAAGGAAAGAAACAGCTCTTACGAGGGCAGGGCATCTTTGATCTTCATGTGGGAGATGTCATTGTACAGTGCGATGGACACGACCTCCTCCATGGGGCAGATGAGGCCGTACTCCTCACAGCCGTTCTCGATCACCAGGGGGTCTGATTTGTGAGGGTCGAACATGATGTTGTTGGGTGTGACGATCATGACGCCTCCGACTACACCCTGCAGGACAGGGACAGGATATGGCTGCTCTGGCAGAAAGCCTCTGGGGACGCGCTGAGGAGCTTCAGTCAACCCGCACTGCTCCCGCACCGAGTCTGCGAGCCCTCTGCCCTCTACACCCATCAGGTCCCTGTGACCACAGTGGCAGAACAGTGACTCAGCTGCAGCAATGGGACTGTGGTGGGACTGAGGCTCCCACAAGACCCTGACGGTCCCCCAGCTCTCTCTCTGAAGATGAGAGAGGCTGTGCTGAGCACTGTTGTGACACGGGGAACAGTGCAGCTGGCATCAGGACAATGGAGCCAAAGATTGGCCTCGTCTACTGCAAGCATGAGTGGAGTGGAACACTTTTCGGGGACACAGCTGTGCTGTGGAAATCAAAAGCAAGGAACAGAAGCCTGGAAGCTCTTCAAAGTCTAATGCTTGAAGCTTGGTCAGGTGACAATTGGCTTGCACTGGCCAGTGGCATACAATCTACCAGGGACAGAAGAATTCAAATGACTTCCTGTAATAAGTAATTTATTTTGATACTCTTAGTGAATCTAAAAATCATCTTTGTGAACATTTCTGTAATTCAGGCATTATTTGTTTGTGAGTCTGCAAATGCAAATCAGTAACATTTTTCTCTCCCACATGGAACCTGACATGACTTCTATGAGGAACACAGCATGTTAGTACAGCTCCCTCTTCAGAGGTTCACTACAAGTTTGATTTTTTCTGTGAAAAACATCAACAACTACAAAACTAAAAACTGTCAACATTTTCAATGCTAGTATTAGTGGTAGTAGGATGAGAAATTACCATTTTTCAGATTAGGTGATAATTTCTTCACATGAATTAGCTCTTTTAACTACCACACCCTGTTAGTTGTATTATTGTTCTTATTTTATAGATAAGAGAAACAACCTTTAGGGATTTAAATGCCTCACCTGTGTCTCAGAGTGGAGGGTGAGGGGTAGTGAGTCTGACTCTTAGTGTTTGCTGGTGACCATTTCACACCTAAGAACCTAAGTGTAAAAATTACCAGGTCAGGACCTGAAGGCTCCACGGTCACCAGGGACTCACCATCCTCATTGCAATCCCCTTGGCCAGTACAGTGCTGGTCACTGAGTGCTCAAGAACAAATAAGATTATTTGTCAAATCTTGAGCGGAAGCCATAGGCCAGTATTTTACCATGGCCTTCCTTCCAGTGAGGTACAGCCTTTAGTTTGCAGATTCCCAGAAAAGCAAGCGCACAGCCGTGCCATGTACCTTTCCATCGGTGAAGTAGCGACAATTCATTTTTAGAAATTTCACCACGCCTGGCTCATCCTCCTCTGAAGTAGATGATAAGACTCTTTCGATGGGTTTTAATGCCTTTCTTGCTAGGTCAGCATCCTTATGAAAGCAACAATTTCCAAAATCAAATAAAAGCAATTTTTCAAAACAATTTATATGTATGAAACAAGCTAAAGAAGTTCCCTCGTAAGTATACTGTTTCTATGAAACTTAAACATAGAAATAGGCAAAGGTACTTTGTCCTTCAAAAATGTTGTGAATATAACAAGTATCCAAATCTCAAAAATTTTTAAAAGGTACATGCATGAACCCATAAAACTAGTTTAATAAATGTTTTAGAAGATACTGAAATAATTTATATTAGATTCCTGACTCTAATTCTTTAGAAAAGGAAGGAATACAAATTATCTGTCTACTTCATTGGCAGTTCAATATCACAGTTTTACCCAAGGTACGGGTTATTATTTTTGAGATGGGTTTTTGGTTTTTCCTGGAGAGGAAGTATTCTCTGGACTAGCGAAACTCACCCAGCTCCAACCCCTGTGGGGAATTTCACACGTAATATTGCAAAAAGTCACAGATGGAGTCTATCATCCGTGAAAACGGACCCGGGGAACCAGGCGCAGTGCATACGTACAGGCAGCTTGTCGTACTCTGCATCTGATGACGAAGGAGAGACTGTAGCACCGGAGCTGGGGGACAGTCTCAAGGAACTGGCCAGTGAGTTGGCATCCGGCACGAACAGGACCTGGGAGTGGGGAAAGTGTGGAGTGGGTACAAGGATCAGGCAGACAGGGCATGGGCATCTAGACAAGCCCCTGCACAGCGTGCTGCTCAGCACAGAACTAAAACCTGGCTGATCTCACGGAGCTCAGAAGCAACTGGGACTTTGTTGACAAATTCATAAATGATACTGGGCCCTGTGCGAATGTGCACTGCAGTAGCAGCCATGGGATATGCCTACGGAAGCTGCAGGAGGCCAAAAAGGGGAGAGGAAGGTGAGCGAGTGTGCTGGGCCAGCCCTGCAAAGTAAATGGGTCCAAGTGGCATTTGGACCAGGTAGGAACAGCAGGGGAAGAGGGAAGAGCATTCCAAGAAAGGATTCAGACAGGTGAACAGTCGTCCCTGAAGTCTTGCCTTGCCTTGGAGCTGAAGTGTTTTAGATTCAAATTTGGGGGGGGGGGTGGCTGAAATATTTGAATAGACTTTACCTGGTGAACATCCCTGGCTTTATCAAAAATCCTAAATCCAAAATGCTTTCAATGCACTCCAATGGATTTTTGAGCATTTCTGATTTTGGACTAGGGCTACTCATTCTGTGCAAGAATAGAGGAGAGAAAAGTCTGGCTTTCTTCTGAATATAATACTGAACCAGGCAGACCAGGAACTAATGTGGTGTGGTAATGCCAAGCAGGCCTGAGTGCAGAAATAATACAGACCTTATATGATAAACTATGCCGGCAACTCAATATCGTAATTGTAATACTTCCTCCTCCATCAGTAACTGGACTACATAAAAATAAAAATGCTCCAACAAGTTGAACAAAATATCCTCCTTCTGCAAAATATGATATATATTTTTTGGGTATCAGGAATTGAACTCAGGACCTTGCTCTTGTCAGGAAGGCATTGGGCTAAATCCCTGCAAAATACAGTTTTAAAATGTTATATGACCACAACCTTTAACAGCCTTTTAATGAGACATCCTATTTGGCATACATTAAATATAATCTTAAAATGATAATTTTTAATGCTGTTAAAGAGAATTCAGAACTTCTCTGAGAATACTGTTGTATCTGCTCTCTACAGAACATGTGTTTTTAACTTTCATTATTTAAACCTCACTTCAATCGAGGAAAGACAAAATATGAACTATGAAAAACACATTCAGACAAAGGTGGAGAAAGAAAAAGCAAGAGGATGTGAGATGAGTGTTTCTACTAAAACTGTGTGCTCTGTTAGCACCAAACACTTGCTCAGAAGCGAGGCATGAACAGCTCTGAGTTTCCACAGAGCCAATGCAAAGAGGCAGGCAGAGTTAGCAAAGCTCAGATTTCCATCAACGCCAGCAAACAAGTTTCAGAGAGGGACAGGTCCTCTCTCTACTGGAGTCACATGAAAAGGAGTTTCCTAGGCTGAACTCTCTTTATTCATGATACACTAACAGTACATCTGGTAATCAGATTTGGAGGACTGTGCTTTTTTATCTTTTTCTTCTTTTTCTTCTTCCTTTACTCGAGATTGAACCCAGGATGGTATGCATGCTAGCAGTTCTTTATAACAGCCAATAGCAATGCAGAAGTTAAAAGTTCTACAAAAGCCATTCACAAAGGAATGACTGTTGGCATTTCCCCCCAACAATTCTTTTTTTTTTTTTTAACTCAAAGTAACAAGCCACAGAGACTGAACCTCTATTATTGCACACTTTAATGTCCAGATTAATAGAGGTGGTTTAGTAAGACAGCAATGGAATTCAGTGTGCTCATGGAACCAAGCACAGCTATGACACTGGATCTCTGGGCCCTGCTAAGCACTTTTATTGACTGGCATTTGAACTTACTAGCTAAAAGTAGTTTCAGAGTAAAAATACCAGACTATCTCATCATGTAGAAGGAACTGGAAAAGAATATTTATGGGATTAACCTAATGTGACAAAAGTAGATCCCTATCAATTTCATGTAGTTTAATAAATTAAGTACTAAAATCCTGGAAAAAATTGGGATAACTTTTTCTGATAGTCCTGCTATATGTCTTTGTGCCCAGAATGACCATTTGTGGTATGGTATCAAATTGAGACATAAATTACCAAAAATGTGCCTAATTTAAAAAAAAATACAATGTTTGTAATGTAACTCAAAGAAGTAGACTAAATTGAAAACTGCAATTCTTAATAAACATCTAAGGATATCTGTATTACATTTGATAAGGAAGTTACACTAATTTACAACTTCCCTTGATGCCTGAGAACATTTACTACATAAATTAATGGTGGTGATAAGAAACTGTGGGAATTGCTTGCAAAGTGTTAATCTCTGATCGACTCTTAGACATTTGGGTGCCCTCCAAATTCCTGGATTTACAGGAGATGAAAGGCTAAACCCATGCATGTCATTATTCACGGTAATCCTGTGACCTGAGGAGAAAAGCATTCAGTATGGCAATAAAAGATAAATGGAAAATTTCTAAAGTGATGTACAATAGGTAAGTAATTACCTGGCCTGGAACGATAGTGTGTGTGAACAGTTTATTCAGCTCCACTAATTTATTGGGAGTGACGTTAAACTTCAGTGCTATGGAGTTCAGGGTGTCCTGGTTTCCAGCCTAGAATAATCAAAAAACGAGATTCAACCTGTAAGCAAAAACCAAAACATCTCCCTTTGATAGACAGCATTCATCTGTTCAAGGTAAGAGTAAAAGAAAAAGTAACAGTTCCACCCAGATGTACCATGGAAGACAGTGAATACATTCTCAATTCTTTATAAAACCATGTATGAGTCTTAACTGTAATACATTTCTAGGCTCCCCATCTTCAAATTTCACTGTGCATTAGTAGATTTCTAATTTTGGTTTGGCACAATTTAGGTCAATAGAGTAGAGGTTCCTGAAGTCTAATAGAAAACTGTAAGAAAAAAAACCCAAAACCCACACAACGCCCGTCCCCCTGGGTGGGGGAAAGAGGGGCCACTTTCTCTCGTGGATTTCTGGCTCTTGCCTCTCTCTTTAATGCACTACTCAGACTGGACAGTGGCTCATTAAGGGCAGTTTTCTCCAACCACACTTGAGAAATTGCCAAATGAACACTTATGAGTGATACATTGTGTCAACCTGAGGAGTATAGAAATTTAGCTAAGAGACTCAACAAGGAGCCAGGGTCCTTCCTTCCTTTGTAAACTTCTTGAGCCTGTACAAGAGGAGGGATGGCAGTGGAATGAGTGCTACACCCACCCTAGAGGGAAGGTGGCCTGTGTGCAATATAAGGGCAAAAAGACGGCTTGCTCTTGCCACTCTTTTGTTCTGGCTGCTGCCTTGGAGCGTTGCCCCTGTGCCATGCCACCCTGCCTTGGAGCCAGCTGATTATGGACTGAAACCTCCACAAACAATGAGCTAAATAAACCTTTCCTTCCTTCATTTTGGGTACTGGGTATTTTGTCTCAGCAATGGAAAAAAAAGTAACCAAGACAAATACTGTGGAAGGCGAGGCACTTAGGGAGAAATTCAGATGAGCCACCAAGAAAACTGTATACTGTCCTTAATGATTTTCCGTGGTCGACTAAATCAGTGTTGCTCTAAATCTGTAAAATGCGTAGACATGCTCCAGATGTACACTTCTCTTTCCTCCTTTGTAGGAGAAGGAAAGGTCAGCGAGAAAATGAGAAGCTTTGCAGTAAAAACCATCTCCCAGGACAGCCTGACTGCCCCGTCAGCAGACAGAGTCCTGGGAGTTCACTGTGATGCCCGCTGCTGGGTTCCCATCCACAGCCAGGACTGAGCTGGGCGGCTGCCCCGCGAACAGAACTGACTCCAGGAGAACTAGGCAGAAACCAGAAGACGCTGAGGGAGGAAGGGGAGTGGGGAAAAGGCAGAGCCGCAGAGGCACAGTGAGACACCCACTGCCGCTGGGAGGAAAACCCCACCAATGAGTGAACCCTCTCAGATGAGTCAGAAGTTTTATAGCTACAGGTTCCACTAACGAGCGTCAGATATTTTCAACAACAAATCAAAGTACCATCCATCCATTCACCCATGCATCCATCCATCCACAGATCCATCCATACACCCATCTTCACTGGAACACTGGGCAAAATCACCACTACTAAAAATGAATGAAAAATTAAAAGAATAGTTTTTATTGCTGGATATTTATATATGATAAATGCAAATACAGTTGTCTTCAAGGTTTAGAGTCAGTACAAGATACAAATTGATAATCCAGACTCCAGGGCCAGATTGCTGGATGGAGCACCTGACCAGCCAGCTGCTGGCTGCATGACCTTGGGCATCCTGCTTCATTTCTCAGGATCTATTTCTCCACCCCAAAAACAGAGATCTATCATCACAATAGCTACTTTACAGCTCCGACTTCATTTCATGATATGTGATCAACAAATTTGCCTCATGTTTTTATGAATAAAGCCCCTATAAAGCATTCTGAGAATGAGGAAAACCATCCAGAGTCACCGGATAAAGATTAAATAAACACACAGAACTGTGCCACAAGGACCCTGAAAGGAATGAATCAAACTCAACCAGAACCGGCAGATGCTAGCATGACCTCCTGAGAGCCACCTCTTATTCTAATGGTAAGTATAAACATAACTTGCCAAATACAATCCATGTTCCCACCACATGTGTCAGCCAGGTAGGCATACTGCATGATCAATCTGACACGTATTTATATTCACTGATGTGTGGACTAATTTTTACTCTCACATCATGGTTTGCTATATGGTGTGAAGGGGCTTGTGAGTCACACTCCTGGGTACACGCAAGTCTTAAGGGATATGGCTTTTGAATATTTTTACAAATGATAAATAATTGAATCCAACACTTCCCCATGCATGCTTTGAGGGATGGTGGCTTTCTCAGTACTATGAGGATAAAGCACATATTTAGGTAACACAAGACAGAATCACACAAGTCCTTTCTGGAAATGATTGGGTCTGCTATCTCCAGAAAGATGCGCATGGAGCTCACGAATGCCTGGCCAGGCCCTTCAAGGGGGCTCTCCGCAGGTGTACGCACCGCACCACCATTCCAAAGGGAATCCCAAGGTCTTGCTGCTGGCCCTGTACAGGGCCAGGCAGGGCACGGACACAGTGAGTGTAAAATAAGCTCAAACCCACGCAGGCAATGGCACTCCTGCTGAGCTTCTTACAAGTCAAAAAGAACACGCACTAGTGCCGTCACAGAGTGAATGAAAACTGATTGTGTATAAATATGGTCTCGCTCCTGAGCTCCAGGTGCTCCTGATGCACAGAGAGAGAGAGATGTGTGCATGACATAGAGAGTGGAGCTGTAGAGAGGGACACACACACAGCATCGATCTGTTGGTTCAGGAACAGGAGATCCATACCCACAAGCAACGTGCCAAGAACACAGCATAGAAACGTCTAATCTCCCTCCATGGATCTAAGAACTAAAGAGCAAAATAAGACATTCCAATAAGGACACCCTGATTCACTATGAGAAATGCCATGGATTATGTAAAAGAGACCTCATATCCATCCTGAAGTCCCTGTTATCACATGTAGGTCCAGGGAGAACAGAGGGAGAAAACAGAGAAGTCCTGGAACGCATCTTTAAAAGTTTGACTCTTTAATAATGACCACCACCAAGAGTAAAACACGGCAGGGAGAATGCGTGACCCAGTGGTATTAACAAACATTCACGCCACCCTGTGTATACTTACGGTGTATGCTATGGTTCCATGGGGCTTCTGGACCACCATCTTCTTCTCCTTTTTGTCATGTGTTTTGTTTTGATTGTCATCTGAAGAACAAGTTGTACATAAATGAATCATTTCACTTTCAGAAAATTAAGACAGATTAAATCTACATTATAAGAAAGCGCATTACCAAACTGACTTAAAGACAGTACCAACAGGAATGTGGACAAAGGGCACTCTTAGATCATGCTTATAAAAGTGTAACAGTTACCAGTGAATATCTGAGGACTTGTTTAACCTTAACTTTCAGTGAGTAACACAAATAAAAACACTATGGTAATATGCTTTCGAGTTACTAAAGCAGCAGTTCAAATGGTAATGATGATGAAGCTAAAGCAAAATAAACATGATCACTGTACAAATGATGCATAATGTAAATCAGCTCAGCCCCAGCAGAGAGAGAGACCTGGCAATACACAGCCACCGCCATAAAAAGTTTCTCCTCTGAGTCAGTATTTGCTCCCCTAAGAAGTTATCCTAAGGTCAACTTCAAAAGAAGAAAAATGATGTATCCTAAGAATCTGGTTATTGATTTATTACTCATAACACTAAAACCCGGCAAAGATTGCTTCATCCAATAACATATTAAGAGGGACCGTAGGTTCTGCTCTTTTTAATAGGCAAAAACGTATAATCACCAGTAGTGAAATACGCTTCAACCTAATGGTTAAATACATCTCAATATATTAATCCTGACATCAAAAGCCAGAGACATATCATTGCCATAGATAAAACACTTAAATGACAAAGAATACAAAAAGTTGGATAAGCCAAGAAAAGATAATCTTGCATGTGAGCAGAAAAATGCAAAGTAACACCAAGTACCATTTTATACCTGACGGCCTGGTAATACCAGAAAGCGGGATATTCTAATGCTGGTGGAAGCGTGAACTGCTGGCTGCAGTGGAAACTGGTGCAGTCATTCCAGCAAACGAGGCTTATCCACTGGCACATCTGTGACCAGTTACACTCACAGTGTCATCTATGGGGACAGCAGAATGATCTGGGGTGGGGCGAGAACTGGGTGTGGGGAATAAGGAGAAAGGAGAACGAGTGGGTACGTAATGAGGATCCTCGCTAGACATGACCAGTGATAACCTGCTGTGATATGAGAAGTGACGTTAACTTGGTCTTCTCTATCTGAGGTCCTCCAGAGAGAGACAGAGAGGAAGAGACAGAGAGACAGAGACAGACAGTGGGACGAGGACAGAGAATCAACAATCATCACTGCATCTATATAACAAATATAGAGGTTCGGAATGAGATTTGGAAGGTAACATAAAAAGTTAATTCATTCAGGATTTATCTGACTTCTAAGTATTTCTTTAAAATTATTTAAAATTAAAAACCAAAAGGAAAAAATAAAGATGCTGTCACAAGAGACCTGTTCTAGTCATCTGAATGTTCAAATTAGAACTAGTCATGAAACTAAGACCCTGTAAATTCTTTAGACTACAAGAAATATCCTCCCTACCTTCAGGTCTGAATTTTTCAGAAGATGAGACTAATGGCTTTCATTTCTAGCTCTCTGTGTAAGGAAACTGTACATAGTGTATACTTAAAAAAATCACAATATCATATATATAGTCTTCTTGAAACAGGGTCTCATTATGCAGTTCAGGCTGGCCTCGAACTTACAACAGTGCTCAGCACTCTTCCTCAGTGCTGAGATTACAGGAGTGTGCCACCCTGCCTGACTTTAATATTTTGTATCTTCTAACTGCAAAAACAGGATCACCTCATTCTTGGCAGGTAAGCAAAGAAAGATCAACAACTCTCTCTCTTTTTTTTTTCCCCTTCTGAAGAATCAGAAAAATGGAGACTGATGGATTCTGTTTTGCTTCCATGGAAGGTGGACAACCCAGGACACTTTCTCAGCCCTTCTTCTAAAGGCTCCTTTGGGCATTAGGTTTGGAGTCCTTTTCTCCCTTCAATGTCTCATTTCCTCTTCCTTTGGGAAGACTCTGCCCTCCTCACTGGCATCATAAACAGCCGTCAGCACAGGTCAGGCCTTTTGTAAGCCTAATGTTAGAGGTGCTTCCTACTGCAAGATCCTACACTTCCCTTTCCATCTGTGGCAGCTTCTGGTCCACACCTTCCCATGAGCTGCCTGTTGCCTCTCTTCCTAGCGGACAACACCATTGCAAACACTGATGTGTGAAATTACTTACTGTCCATCTGCCAGAGAGCAAGAAGGGCAAACTCAATCTTTCAGGATGAACTTAGTACGTACCTGAATCAGTACCAAAATCTACTTTTCACGGTGCAAAGGGGTAGGCCAAAAAAAAATGTAAAAAAACAAAAAAAAGTTTCCCTTCAGAGACTAAGCTTTTGAGATCTTTTGGGTGAAGACCATGACACACCCATCTGTGAGCTGAAACTCCACAGCCTGTGAGCTCCCCAGCATGCACTGGTAAGCCTGATGCATCTGATTGCGAGTGGCACCTCTCACCAAAATAAAACAGAGCCCAGCAGATCAAGTGCCCCTCCTAAAAGCCAGGAGCAGAACACTGTGTTTTTCAGCTGTCAAAAGAGAAAGCAGAGAAATTGGCAAATTCTAGGCACCAAATTGAGCTGCCTACATCATCTGACACAAAGTAAGGCTACACTTTACTTCCTACACGTTTCTGCGTGAGCTATGAAGAAGGCCCAAGGTGTGTGCTTGTGAGGGACTCCTGTGCCTCTCAGCGCAGCACCAGGTCGCCAGAGTTTCTGGAGACAGCCAGAAAGAGGTGTGAGCGACCACTGAAAAGGGCCATCTTCCTGTGCTCTGGGTTTGGGCGTCAAGTCCAGCAGTTGAGGCGAGGACCCATGAGGACGCCCCAGGGGGCAGTGGTGCCCTGGGGACACTGACACACACATCTAGCCTCAGGCTCATTCCCCGCCCAGCACTTTTCAAATGCTTATGATCCTCCAGCTCATAGGCATCAGTCAGTACCCAGGCTGAAAGATGGCCAAGGGCTCTGCAGAAATTATTTTGAGCCAAGTTCCTGAATCTCTTACCCGCCCAACCTAGGAATAAATCCTTTAGAGCCAGGTTCTCCTAATCCAATCTTGTAAACAAAACTGACAAAACCCTAGAATAATACACTGGCTATCAGCCTACGCCTTCTCGTGAGAACTGAATGGGGAGGAGAGACAGGCATCGCATGCCAAGAGGACCTTTGCACCCCCAGCCCAGCCACGCCCCTGATCACCCCCACAACAGAGCCAGAAGTGTCTGAAAGGCAAGGCTTTGGCTCCTCAGTCTGAGTTTTACATCCTGAGATGCAAGTTTCTCGAGGGAAGGGAAGGGAAAGGGAGGGGAGGGGAGGGGAGGGAAAGGGGAGGGGAGGACAGGGGAGGGGAGGGGAGGGAAGCCGACCCTTGTGGCCAGGGACTGCACTAGGAAGGTGACATTCAGCAAAATGCAAAGTGATCTTTGGTGATGGTGAGCTCAGCAGATGCAATGCAGAAACGGTCCTGGCGGGGCTCAGGATACAGAGTGCATCAGCTGAAGCCGGACCAGGGGCAGGCAGGGGGCACCGAGGACACAGCAGAATGACAACTGAGTGAGTTTTTTGCTGGTGCCACCACCAGCCACCACAACTGTAGTGCTCAGACCCATCGACTCAGAAGGTCCTTCCCTCCTCTCGTGAGACCAGTGGCCCTGGCCAAGCCCTTCTACTGCCATTCTCTGGTTTTCTCTTTTGGCTACCTTTTGCAGTTTTCTGGATCCCTGCATTGGCCCTTGGGCCTCCCTGACCATTCACACAGATCGTCTTAGGGCCAGCTGATTGGTCACCTTCATGCCACCTACAGCTTCAACTCACCTGTCCCAGACCAGTGACCTGATGAAGCCAGCACAGTGGACATTTTTCATGATTGTAATGGAAAACACATACAAAGACAAGCTGTGGATTTCTTGGGTCTTGAGTCCATAATTTCTACACAGACACAGGTAGGAGCTAAAAACCAGTATGTAGCCTGTTTTTAAAAATTTTTTCCCAGGTACTGTCAATTATGTGAACAAAGGCAAATAGAACTTCTGAAAATCACCAGGTTTTCCGCTGTCTCAGGACTCATTCTGCACTGGTCCTAACACTGACACACTCTGTGCATCCTCCGCTGCCCTCTCCACCCATGAGGCCACCTGCATTGGGTTCGGAAGGCCAGCCGAGGGCTCAGGACCCTCAGGGCCTCATCAACGGACGGAGGATGATTACCATGATAATCAAGGAGGGGGCAGATCAAAGAGGTGAACACTGTGTCTCTGCGAGTTTCAAAGAAAGCAAAACCCATTTCCAGTGCCACGCCTGTCCCTGTACTGGACACAGAGGTACAAAGCCAAGACAGCATGACGGCACAACTACGCTCCACTGCCCTGTCCCACCACACAGCATCCTGAGCGCAGTCCGGCTGAGGACAAAAGAGGGGCTCAGCCAACAAATCTGCACAGCTGGGTGACGCTGGCAAGTTCTTGGTCACCCTTACCTGCAAAACAAAAAGCTATCTTATAACGCAGCTGAAAACACCAGAAGATAAATATGATGTCATCTCAGAGCCTAGTGTAGAAACTATTAATACTAATTCAGTCGACACGGGTAAACAGCTATTTGAGTAGTATACTGGGTTATAAAATATCAGCAGAAAAAGTTTCATTCTAGGTTCATTCCAGAATTACCACAGTATATAATGTTAACATGATAGAATGTCAAAAATAGTTTCAAGAAGAAAAACCTTATCTGAGCTTGGTACACATCGAAAAATATTTGATGACATTAAATAGCCATACTATTGGGGATTTCCTTTTTTTTTTTTTTTTTTTTTTTTTTGTCTTCTTGAGACAGGATCTCACTATGAAGTTCTGGCTGGCCTTCAGTGCACTTTGTAGCCCAGGCTGGCTTTGAACCTGCAGGGTTTCTCTTGCCTCAGTCTCCTGAGTGCTGCAATCACAGGCACTCATATTGCTATTCAGAAAAAACAGTTTAATAACAACATCAACAACAATCTGACTGCTCAAACCCAAAGCTAATGTGGACTGCCTCAAAAGAACTTTAAGGAC